GGTCATAGAATTTTGATAGAAACTTATGATGTTGTTCCATCAATTAAAACACATATGAATATTGGTTCTGTCGATTCAAAATTCGATTCAAAACGTTAACTCTACTAAACTAATATATTATATAAACTAATATTAAATATAATATTTAATATAAACTAATATTAAAAGAATTAATTATTTATAGATTTTAATATGTCATTCAATATTGTTAAGATCGTTTCGAAGATGCGAATAAGCATAAAAAATTTGTTAAATTGCTAGTCAATTTAACTCGTGATATTACTGCGCTAATTTAATAGAGTTAGCGTTTTAAATCAACGAATCGAATTTTAAATTAACAGAATCTTTTGAATCGACAGAACCAATATTCACATGTATTTTAATTAGGATAGTTATTAGAGTTAAGTTCATTTCCACCAACGCAGATTAACTTTAATCTCAATTCAACTTACTCTTTGTTTTTTTCTAGTTCTAAAGATTGGAAAAAGACGAAGAAGTTAAGTTGAACCGAGATTAAAGAGTAAATCTACATTAACGAAAATGGACATTAGCGTTTCAAAAACCAAAAAATTATTTCGGCGCGCGTTTCTAGGAATTATATACGTAGTATATAAATTCACACAAGATCATACAAGCATTAAAATTCAGCTAGACCGTTTAAAGCTTTGATTTTTATAATATATGAGATATGTTTAGGACATTATACTAAATGAAAGTTTTAGAATGTCACTGATCTTATTAAATAAGCATTCAAAAATGTTTTAAACACCTTCACATTCTGATCCAAAGTCCTAAAAATGTCCGTCTTTAATCTGAGATCTATTTTTGAATTTTTCAAATATTTTGCCGCTAGATGTTATCGTTTCCCGCATTTAAAATTTAGTCAAGGTTTCTACATACCAATGTAAGCTCAAACATATCATAATTATTTATATTGGGTTTTCGTATGTACTTATAGTGCACGATATAATTGTATTTTTTTGCACTAACAAAATTATGAATACAATAATATTTTGTAAAATATTTTAATATTGTAAGTTCAACACTTTATCCAAGAAACATCCTACGATTGTTCTTAGGATATC